AATTTTGCCGACAGACTTTACGATCAGCTCGAAAGTATTTACTTTCAAAACATACGTGATACCAATATAACATCGAATGTTAAAAGATTTACAATTAATAATTGTCAGCAAAATCTTTTCCGAAGAAAAATTAACTTTGAAGAATTTGTTACACTAGTTAAGCTTTAATTTTGTTCAAATAATGTGATACTCCATTTTCGTAAGTCATTAGGTTTGTTCTTTTTAGCTAAAGTTCTTACACGGTTCACCTTTTTTCTTTTTCTCTTCAACGTGGAGGGAAAAGGAAGAAAGATGAACCGTATAAGAAGTTCAGCTGAAAAGAACAGGTCTATTATAATTCGAGAAACTTACAAATATAACGCCAAAAGAGTCGAGAAGCATCCGGGTTTAATTCCACGGCCTAAGCCCTTATGCATGATACCAAGAGCCGTATCTTTCATACTGTGAGGCACTTGCGGTCCTTCTTTCATGTAAAGCACTCCATCCACCTTGAATTTCTCGACCAAGACCGATATCTGCTGATTGGACTCCAGAAAACGATCTCTGGAGCGGCGATCGACAGTCGACAAGCACACTGAAAAAACGACGAATTCTGATATATTGATTTATTTTAATTATTGCCTCGGTAGTCTAATGGTTTAGGACGCTCGTACGGAATACAAGAGATCGGGTTCGACTCCCGGCTGAAGTAATATTTTTCGCAATAAATTTATTTACAGTTTTTCAGCACATTAACATCTAGCTAATATGATGCCGTGCATAAAAAATTGTCAGTGAATTTAATTCGTATTATTATATATAGTAGTTTAATTGCGTTTATAAGTCCGGAAAACCAAATTCGGCGCGCAGTTTGAAGGACTACAAATATTATATATATGCAAGTTATAACATTTATATAATTCACATTAAATATTATTTAAAGCATTAAAAGATCTAGCTTCGACCGATATAGGCTTCTAGTTTATCAATTGTGTTCTCACATATACAGTCTAAAAATGAGTTTCTTATTGTTATTCTAATTAATCTTCTTCAAATATCTTCAGCATTACTTAAATCAGTTACTTTTTTAAAACGTTCTAAGAACTTGCTCGGAAAATAATAAAGATTGTTGAAATAAAATGAATATAATTTTCTAAACAAAATAGTAATCACAAGGAGAGAAAAAGGAAAAAGGGGGAGAGAGAGGGACCCAAGCAACAAATCGACGTCGCATGGACGTCTAAACCAAATCCCATAAATGTCTTTTGTACGTACAATACTGCCCACAGACGTCGTTAGTACGTTCAATCTCGAATGGCACAGATAATTCGGAAATTATTCATCTTTTCTGATCAATAAATTGTTGAAAATAAATAGAAGGACACCGAACAGTTATTGAGCTCCAAGATAAATGTATATAAAGATAGTCCTCGGATTTTGTTGACGACGATTGTTCGCGTACTGCTCGAAAATTAAACATATATTAGCAAAGTACTTTGAACATCCCTAAAATATCTGTAAATAACTTCATTATAGGACGTTCAACCAATGTCCTTAGAACGTATTTCAGGCGTTTAACATACAGCGACATAAATTGGACTTTTCAGGACATATTTCGGACGTCGAAGGATGTCCAAGGACGTCCAATTGTTGCTTGGGAAGGAAAGGAGGAGAATAACGTTGTTCCATGCGGTATTACTTACGGTAATACATCAAAGGATTTTCCAGTTCCGGACACGGGAAGCCGATATAGGTAAAATAATCTAGCATGCTCCTAGTAGGTCCAGAATAAACCACCGCGCCCAGGCACAGTAACGTTACGCGACTGACGAATGGTAGCACGTCAGATCTAGGTGTTTCCATAGTGAGGACGACAATGGAGCCGCGTCTAGTGGCATATGACCACAGCATCGAGACGATGAGATATGTGTTGAGGGGATCGGTGTCCCAGGTTGGCTCGTCCAATAGCAACAGAGTTGGATCTTTGGCAAGTTGCACTCCCAGCATCAATCGTCGATATTCCGGCCTGGTGAGATCGTTCACCGACCGGTTGGCGACCTGCGAGAGTGCCAGGTCGGCGAGGGTCTGTCGCACCCGGGCCTCGCGATTGTTTAGATTGGCGAGCCACGTGGCGTACATCAGGGTCTGGCGAACCGTCAAACTCGGTAGCAGGTGACACCTGTGAGCCACGTAACCGCCGTGACGCCGGAATAATTCCGGAGTCAGCAAGTTGCCGTTCAGGGTAA